GGGTGCTGGAGCACGAGAGTCATGAGAGGGATCTACTCTGGGTTTGACGGTTTTGGCTCAAGGCGAAACATCATGGTCGACTTTAAGCTGGCATCGAACCATGGAGCATGTAGCTCCGCATACCTCTCAAAGTGAAACTGCTCATCCTTCATGGAAGCTACAGGGGCGCCTGCGCAAATTGACGCGATCTGCGAGTCTCATCGGGCCGGAACCCCGGGGTCCTGCTCCGGAAATCCTAGCAACCTTATCAGAGAAGCAAAGCAGGACCTGATGATCCCCGAGTGTGCCACGTGAGCGGATCGAGGTCCGCAGCATTGACATCCATTTCCAGCTCGTCGACGACAGCCTCTCTGATGAGGCAGAATTGTTCTGCTTGCTGCATTTCTGTCTAAACCTCGAAATATCAACGATAAAAACTACAAAAGTAGCAATTCTTCATGCCTCACAAGTTCAGACGCTCGAACATCTTTTGGTTCTGTCTCCATGCGGCAAGGTTTGCACAGATTTTTGCTCATGCTTTGGTGCACGGATCTACTGGCCGACGGTGTACGCGAATTTGTGCGCGGTTTTGTGGCGCTGTCGTGTTGAGGGAGATAGAACCTTAGGATAATCCGCGGCAAGTTCCACGAGAAACTTCGCCAGAATATCCGCGAGACAACCCTGTTTGGCCGCGCAAGGCAATCCACCGAAAAAATCGTGGCCCAGACCGCCACCTAACATCTCGCTTGCTACGACTTCTAGAGCACATTGGATTACCTGATCGGAATGGCCTACATACTGCATTGCTTACTTCCACATCTTTATCAGATGACCTCCACGACGACGAATCCTGCTCCTGCTCCTACTTGTACTGCTACACAGCTACTGCAGCTGCAGAAACGCAGCAGCTGCTGCTGCCACTGCTACTGCGACGACGACAACATTGCTGATTGGTGGGAATATTCTACTCGTGCTGCTACTGTTCTCCTTTTCAGTGATGCAGCTCCAATTTGCCAGGACATGTTCACAAGAGCGGTCCAGCAAGTTTCTTTGTTCTTCTAGGTATGTCTGCAATCAGAAGCGAAAGCTTTGGCCGTACACAGGCACGGCCATGGCTAGCAAGATGCAATGTTGATCCAGGTCTTATCATAATATTGCAATTGCATGATAAGCAGCAGCAGCAGCAGCAACCTCACGCCAAGAGTTTCAGTTGTGAACCAGGTGGAAACGGCGTCACATCGCCTCGCCGTCCCTTCCCTGGTTGCCCACCCCACTACCTTGCTGCTGACCTCTTTGGCTATTGTCTCTCTGAAGGCGATCCACGTCCTCTTCGACAGAGCCGAGGCTTCCGTAGCTCTGACAAAGAACCATGGCTACATCCGGTCGCTGGCAGCTTGCCTTCTGGAGCCGCTTCTTCAAGAACCCCTGCCACTTCCAAGCGGGCAGTTGGATGATTTCTTCGCTTCTTTTCAACATGGAAGTTGCGCACACATTGCGAAGGATCTGGAACACCTGGAGCTAATTTTCTCTTCCCTCGCAAATCTATGTCTGCATCATTCCGCCATCACCAAAGTCCCCCCGAGCTCCGAAAGAAGATGAAGCCAGCCACTGCAGACAAGACACTCGGATGATAGAGGCAAAAACCAATACAACTGGTCTGACATCATTTGCATCATTGCTCTATAATTCAAGTTCCCCCGGTTTCAGTTTTGATTGATTATGTGCCAGACTCAATTATTCCGGCCATATGCCACCATCATTTGCCGCCTGCAGTGATTTCTTGCCCATGGACATGATGTTCGCAGGCCTCAGCCACGAAGAAAATCATGTCCACACTGCACAGCATGGTTGGCATCGACGGACACGTGTGATGTATTTCAATGTCTATACTTTATGCTTTCATGCATTCATGCCTGCATGCATGCTTGCTTGTCATTTCGCAGCAGCGTACATTGAACATGTACATAAAGATAGTCTCGCAAACAGTTTTGGCACGGTCAGGCTTGCATGTGCTCATGCACTCATACACACACGGAGGCGTGCCTGCATTCATTTGCAGGTGTGCCAGAAGGCGCGAAGTAGATGCACTTGCATGGGACGCTGGTGGGAATCTGACCTGTGACGGCGACGGTCTCAGTGGCTCAGGCAACGGCCCGAATACGGTGCCGGCATCTGTGTTTCCGATGAACGGCTCCCCATACTCTGTGCGCTGATCCTGGACCGCGCAATTCTGTCACAGAGCTGATGCTGATTCGTGAAGTTCTTAGACGGTAATGTGCCGAAACCAGGGCGGCGAAAGGTGCAAAATGCATCCAAACTCTTTTGGCAACCACTTTGCTCATGCAAGGCTGCTCTCAAAATCGTGCCTCATCGATCCCCTTGTTGATACCTGTCCGGTGTTGGATGCGGATTCATGAGAAGCACACGATTTCGAAGTCCTCCATCGACCAACTCTGCAACCGAAACTGCACAATCAAGCCCGACATAGGATGGGTGCGGGGAGTAACAGGAACCCGCTTGGGGAGTAAAGGAATTCATTTCTGGACGTCGTAACGGGAACCAGGGCTAGTAGAAACAGGAACCACACCGGGAGCGTAACAGGGGCTGTCCAAGGAAAGCCAAACAACGAAAAACAATGCTGGAACTCTTGCGTGGGGGACCGGTTTTCGGTCCCCTACTTTGACACCATGAAAGCCTAATGCTGACGCCTATGTTTCGTTCGAGGCATATAGAATTTGGGGTTGAAGCAGATTCACGGTTTGGGATATAGGATGCCAATGGCAATACACTCCTTGTCTCTGAAGCCACAAGTTGTTTCTTCATATTGAATATGGGTGCTTTATCGTACAAGCAGGTTCGTACTAATGCAAGTCGAAGTTGACGTATTACGAGTACTACTACGATTAGTGACGGGGCTAGGCTTTTGCACGCCATCGTGGTCTGACCAGCGCCAGCTTGGCTTGTTTCTTGGGTGGAGGGTTTAGACTTTCGGGTTTTAGGCGGACTCTGCGACTGTAGAGGTATTGTGGAGGTTTAGGGCTTCAGGGGTTTAGTGTTTTAGGGGTTTAGGGTTGACGGGTCAGGTTCAAGGGTTCAGGCATTTGTCTGTCAGTCGAGAACGGCTTTAAACGCTCGAGAACGGCTTTGGGGGTTTGGGGTTTCGGTCAGCTCTTGGCACCAGAAGTAGGACTAAGAAAGAAATGACGAGACTACACACAGCAGCTTTCGTCATACGATCGTGCAAACAAGTCACGAAATTTGCAGTTTGACTCGCAGCAAACACATGCAATGTTCATTCTGGAGCGTCATGGCAACACCGATGCTGTTTAGCCATCGGAAATTCAGGACAAAGGGTGCTGTGGGGGACCGGTTGCTGTGGGGGGCCGAAAAGCGGTGCGAGCCAACAAGTTACGAGGGGCGGCCTGGGGAGGTGTTACAGGAACTGATGGTTGCTGTTACGGGATCGGTCCCCGTTCGTGTTACGGGTTCACGTTACGGACATCCTGTTCCCGTTACGGCAAACACTCGACATACCGGTAGGGTAGGAAGCCTGTGAAACCGAAAGCGCCTGGAATATTGAAAAACGCCGTACTTCTCGAAGATAAATTGGCCTGTCAGGGATCCCGGGCGCTTCGTGCTATCGGGGGGCGCTGTCTTCTTGGCAAATGTCCTTTCTAATCGCTTCGCGCGATGAACCCGGAATAGGCATCTGCCGACCTCCAGGAACGCACCTCTCCCTGGCCGTGATGGATATGATGGTGCGGTCGACGTCCAAAGCCTGATCGTGTGTTGAAGCTCAATGTGAACAGGAGCTCTCAACTGCCGATACTCCCGAAATCATCTCCTAGAGGCTTTTATGTTTTGGCCCGCAACTTCGCAAACATTCGATACCATGCACGAGCTCCAGTCGGAGCTCTCACCTAAGGCTTGGGCGGATCGCAGTAAGGAGTTGTGGCCTCAGGGCACGGGCGAGCCATTGACCCCAAAGTCGAATCCGGAACTTCAAAGATTGACTAGTATTCCCAAAACCTGGCATGCCAGATCATGCTAGTAGCTCAACCCTTTCTGCGCTTGAAAACCCAGATCGCCTCCCAGGACGCGCGGAGGGTGCCGGGCATAATGAAATCTGGTGCCTGAGCGGGTTTAGAGGTACGAGTGAATGAGTCTTGTTTTCTTGGAGCTTATGTTTCACTCGGACCAAGAGCAGATGAGGAGAGATTTTGCGTTCGCAAGAAATCAGTTACGGCCCGTTCGCTCCATCGACGTTTCTGCAGGAATTGCCCTGACGCCCTGGGTCTGCCCAGGTCAAAGCCGAAAGGCCGACGGACGCTGCCGACTCAAGCTTGCTTGACAAAAGCAGATAGTTTAATGCACAGAAGCAAATTCAAAACGTGTATGCTTGCCATCAACGGCAAGTAACAGCAGCAGTGCACATTGTTGATCTGGGCCGTGCGCGCGCTGATGTCGTATGCGTCACCGCCCATTCGCTGCGGCCGCCGTGCGGAAGCACCAAACGTCACAACGTGTTGAATGCATGTAGTTAATGCGCATGCATCTGAACCTTTCTTCTTTGCAACCTAGTGTTCTGACATGTCCTGAAGGAAAGAGCTGCTCGTGATTAGTTGTTTGCTAAGCAAACTGCCCGCTTCTACATTTGCCGTAGATCCGCCCGGGACTACAGTGCGGATTACCATTAAAACTACCGTTAAATACATCATTGCACAGGAATGCTTTCGGTGTCCTATGCTTCGAGCCAGAGCTGATCCTGCAACTTTGCCTGCAGACGACAAGCACTAGTCGACGAGGCATGGTTCCCTGTGATGAGCATGTAGTGGCACAGGGCTTTGGGTGTGGGGCAGCCTTGGGGCACACTTCCGGAAGCCTTGGCCCAAACAGGAACGCCCATACTGTCACAAGCTGCACTCGAAGGTTCCGGGTACGCAGTGGATTCTAGCACCGAAAAACATGAAACTCAGAATGATAATGACTGGACTTGGCTCTACCAAGGCAGCTCTGCTGGCCTGTGCTTGCTGATGCCGTGCCTTCAGCTGCATGTGGAAACGGTGGAAGGCTCAGGTTATGCGTAATTACATGGCCTGCTGAACAAAGCTGACAGAAGAGGCTACTCTGACGGCAACAAGACATGGAGACGACCTGCCTCCGAGGCTAGTGTGTGCCCCTGAATAACAAACGAGGCAGATCACTCATATGATTGAGGCCAATGAAGCCTGCATGCCAACTCCCATGGCATCGTCCGGCATACTCCAGAGTGGGAGTCTAAGTGGAGATGCAATGATCACCAAGTGTGCATACCCTGTTTGTCTCTGCACAATCGCACAACCGCCTGACCCAGCCGAAAAGCGTGCGCCTTGTACTCCGAGACCATCATCTGAGTCTGTGCATGCCGCGCCTGGCTGCGGTACTCAGATGCTTGCATCAGGGAAACGGGACGGCAATTACAGTAGCGTTGCGAATTGGATGCTTGAGTAGTTTGAAACATGTCCGTGCACGAGCGGGCACTCGATTTGTGTGCAACAACATGGCAGAGCCCGTAGATTGGGGTCGTCTTTGGAGGTGGATTGCTCTGGGCCTGGGTGCTCTGATTCATGAGGGAAACTGTCGCAGTGACAACTGAGTAGAAATCCAATTCGGCCTAAATCGCTGCGAAGAAAGGGCTAAAGAACAATCGACGCTTTGGAACTGCTGACACGCGCCTCACTCTCTTCCAGTCGTTGAGACATCTCACCTGTCATATTTAGCAGGAAGCAGCGCCAATGCTGCTGACCACAGTCTACATCGTGGCATGCCATGGCTGACTGGGATGGCCTGAAGGAAACGCCTTATGCGTCGCACACTTACTACAACAATCACGGTGCCACACACCAACGAGGGCTAAGGCCATACGTCGATATCATCGATTTATGCCTAACCAGAAAGGCTTCCTCCAAAATACAAGGCCTCTACCAGAAAAAAAAGAGTTTGCTACTATGATGAACACTGCAGGTAGTATGATGACAACGTTATCATTCTTGTCATCGTCATCATCATGTTGCTGCTGTTGATCTAATCATGGATCTTTCTTCTTACTCCCAGTACATCTACGTGTGTATGTATGTATGTATGTATGTATGTATGTATGTATGTACGTAGGTATGTCTGTCTGTCTGTCTGTCTGTCTGTCTGTCTGTCTGTCTGTCTGTCTGTCTGTCTGTCTGTCTGTCTGTATGTATGTA